AATCAATATTACTTGCGGTAAATAAATCCATTTGAAAGTGTGCTCATTGCTGCTTAATTTTGTACAAATACAACAAACTACTTGTATCATAAAAACAATCAAGGAAATTATTCCCAACATTATTTTTGGACAATTTAAACATTGAAGTGAATTCAAAACGCACTAATGAGTACACAAAGAATGACGTTTACATTTTTTAGATTAGTCTCTGCTGATACTGTCTTTCAATTAACTCAAAACAAAAAAGATTATAAATAAGTTTGTCGCTTAAGTTGATATTGTGATGAAGATAAAAACATTGTAAAGCCTTATTTGCCATTTTGAACAACAGGTAACCCCCTTGGTTACATTTAGGGTTCATTTATATAGATTCCCTGTTAGGCTCTGATCTGTTACTTTGCCTCTGAAGGTGTTACAGCAGGAAACACGTCACTTTTTTCTCACCAACCAAACAATTAAGGACATAAAAGAGTTCTGGGTGTCCCACAGGGGCCTGTGTCCCTCTTTAGATGGCCCTGCTGTAATATTCAGGTGGCCCCTGAGTGACCGGGGGACAGGTGCGATGCAATGTGAGGGATCCCTGTTGTTAACCAAAGAATACAGGTCAAACCAGAGAGTGTGTTTTTCTCACAAATTAGGTAGCCCTTGTATAAAATCTATGAGAAAGACAATGTTTTAAATGTTATGATGAATCATGTTTAATTATAAATCCCTTAATTGAACAAAAGGGTACCACAGGCCCACAGACAAGGACAACAGACAATAGAAGGAAGGTTTGTATTACCCAAATCTAAATCAAATATGGGACAGAAAACAGTCATGTACAGAGCCATGATCAGCTGGAACTCTTTACCGGTCCACCTCATTCAGGAAAATTCTCAAGTACATTTCAAAAGGTTGCTAAAAAAATATTTAAGTATTATAAAGTATATTTGAACTGTGCCTGTGCATATGTTATTATGTACACTTATTTGTATTTACTTTTGTTTGGCCTTAGGATGGCGATAATTGGATGACCATTTTAGTTTTCACTTCATACCACTGTAAATTGCATGCAATTATGAGCTGTTTTGTCTTGTTTTGTTTTAATTTTGTTTTGTTTTAATTTTGTTGTATGTATGTTTATGTATGTTTTGAGTGTGTGAGGACCCCAGGAATAATAGCCAATGCTCATACTAGTGCTAATGGGGATCCTAATAAAGACAATAAAGACAACAGCTCTATGTTTTTATAAACAATGCCATAACGGTCTTCTAATCCTTGTACACATGTAACTCAGCTTTAATAATTGATGTATACTAATACAACACTGAGTAAATTGTGAAACTACTTTAATATGTACTATTGTTTTAACTTTTTAGTTTATAGAAATTATTGAATTCTATTTTTATTTGAACTTTTATTAGACATTTTACTTTAACTTATGTTTGTATGAATATATCTATTCCATATTTTTATTTAGCTATTTCTGTCACAAAACCTAATTCCCCCTGGAATGGATAAAGAATAATGATATGCTCACAGTAGTTTGGCATATATTATAATAATGTGTGGTAAACTGCATACCTGTAAGATCATATATAACAACATGTGATGACTCTTTTCTCACAGGTTGTCATTTTCCTGATCATCTCTTAGAACATGTCCTTCTAAATATGAAGTATTTGTTACTATCTAAGGAACATAAAGTCAACGTTTTGTTAGGTTGTGGCTTTCCGGTCACTTGTCACCTACCCTTTAGGCACCTTTGTGAGAAAGAGATATATCTTATACATTATCATCAATTAAAGCTAAATAAAGTTTTATATTATACAACTTTTCTCTTATCTTTAATCGTTTTTTAATGTTCTCTCTTTTACTGAATGGAACATATTATTACATGACCCTTCACCATGGAGCTGGATGGATGAATGTGGAGCCTGCGGACACCCAGGCACGTGTGTGTGTGTGTGTGTGTGTGTGTGTGTGTGTGCGTGCGTGCGTGCGTGCGTGCGGGCGTGCGTGCGTGCGTGCGTGTGTGTGTGTGTGTGGGGGGGTCGACAGTCAGCTGCCCGACTCCCACCAAAAGGAACGACAACTGCAGGGCGGCAGCGCTAACAACAGCAGCAGCAGCAGCAGCGGTGACAGCGATATAAAACCAGAGATGGGTTTTATGCCGGGCAGAGAGCGGGGGATCAGCTGAATCAGCTGAGGATGTTTGAAGAAAGAGGCAGGCGTGATGAACGAGGGTCTCTGTTCCGTCCTGAAACCTGTTCATACTCATTCAACAAGACATGGCTTTAGGCTCTAAAACTTGATCTCTCATCCTTTATCTACATTCAATTTGAAGAGAAAGGAGCATTGATGCATTTAAAGTTCCTAGATACATTTTCAAAACATGTTTACATTGAAACTCCTTTAACTTTTTCAGTAAAGAAGGATGTAGAGGAGCTCCAAAATGTCTAAATCACACAGAGAAATGATGAAAGTCATGGCATTTTATCCTGGAGTATTTGTTAAATACAGGGAACATTGTTATCTGGATGTAGTGCATTGCTACATTAGAGTAACAGGTATAGTTAGTTACTTTCAGGTTCAAAGTTCACATTAGGAGCTTAACACATAGTTTAGTTCAATCAGAATAACTTTATTCGTCCTACAGAGGGGACATTTACAATTGTAGATGAAAAAATAAGCGTCTAAGTGGAGCTTTATGTGACGTACATGTATCTTCTAAACTCTTTCAAATGTTTTCATTTAAATAACTGTTTAAATAAATAAAGTATATTTTGTGTACTCTCTTTTGGCTCTTTATATGTTCCTGTGCTTGTCCTCACTTCTTTTGTTATCAATGTAACATTATCAACATTAATAATAAACAAATAAATAATAGTTCTGCTACTGCTACTACTACTACTACTACTACTACTACTAATAATAATAGGGATTATTATTACAAGAGTTTAACTTTTATTTCCACATTGTGCTATTTTAACTTAAGTAAATGACCCAAGTACTTCCACTCCTGATAACAACTGCACAGTGTTCAATTATAATAATACAAGACATTATTAAGTACAACGTTTGTATATAGGTTTTAATGCTATATCCATTCAACCCCTCTCCCGCCCAGCACCTCCTTTTGCCCTGTCCTCCCCCTCATGGGCGGTAACAGCTGTGGTGTCACCCCAAGTCACATGACATGGGCAGGTGGGAGAGACCTATGTGGGACATGCATCCCCCCTTTCTTCCCCCCTATTCTCTCTCTGTCTGAATGTCAAACCCCACACGCACTCACAACCTCCTCTCTTCAAGGGTGTGGCCATTTTGCATTGCTTGAATGTACTCCCTGTTTATAACTCATACTGTATGTCTGATCTCTCACATTGACCACATTCCCGGCGTGTAGCTGTCGTGTTGCGGTCTCTCCCAAGAGACTGCCAGCTTATAGAGAATAACTACTCATCAATGGTTCAGACATTAACTACATTTACATTTCACTATACTTAGTTTCATGATTTGTAATGTGAAGCTCTGGGGAACTTCACTTTAAAGCCTTAATGAGACAATCTAAGACCCATCAAGGATTGCATTTTTACTTCATAATAAAAGAGGATATTGAAACAGGACATTTCTATTCACTATTTTGAAGATTCATAGTTCATCAACAGAGAGAACCTTTTCAAATTAAAGGGTGAATCAATTGCATATCAAATGGCAAAATAAGACTATTTTATTTAGTAAAAGGTTGTTTGTGTTTGTTAGTGTTGTGACAAGGATTTGTTTTTATTTGAACATTGTTTTAAAACTAAATTGAACTCTAAAATGGATGCAGAACAAACACATGGATAATTCTATTTGTGATGAAGGCATGTTTATAGTTCTGGACTATGGTGATTTGATATATATATATGAATGCACCTGCCCATTGCCTGATCAAGTTAGATGCCTCCTATCACAGTGCGCTGAGATTTGTTACAAACTGTAAAGCACTTACTCATCACTGTACCCTGTATGCCAGGGCAGGTCTGCCATCACTTACTGTTCAGAGACTCAGTCATTGGTACATGTTCATTTATAAAGCCATGTTGGGTAAACTACCACCTTACATCTGCTCTCTGATCTCACACAGAGTCGCAAGTAGCTATTGCCTAAGATCCCAGCATGTGTTTTTATTGTGTGTTTATGTACCAAGTGCTAGGACGGTTTTAGGCACTACAACTTGTATGTGCGCAGCTCCTCTAGCATGGAACACTCTGCAACAAATATTAAAATTTAGCATTGTGGTTCCCCTGCATCATTTTAAAGCATATCTTGAGGAATTGATAGTTGATACTCCTGGTCTGTATTTGTGAATAAGTTTGGAAATTGTACCCCTGTCATTATGATGTATGTGTCCTTTTTTGTTTTGTGTTACATGTGTAACCAATGTGCGGCAGGTCTCCCTTGTAAAAGAGATCGTTGATCTCAATGGGATTTTTACCTGGATAAATAAAGGCTAATAGATGGAATAATTATAATTATTTTTTATATTTCTTTTTCAAAAGGGATAACAACAATAAAGAATACATCAAATAAGTATTTTTGACAAATGATAAAGGTATTTATGCTTCTCTTTTTCATGGCAAGTCAGTGCAATGAAGAGGGAAATGTTCATAGCTTGAAGACTGACATTTAAGCACATTGCTGCCGTTGCAATGTGTAAGGCACTGGCTCCTTCGTTTATTTTACACACAGTGATGGGTTATCCTTAAAGATTTGCTCTGGACCCCCAAGTTTGTTTGTCTGTCTAAATTATGTCACCATATAAGAGCATTTTATGAGCGTCAATATGAGGAGCCAGGCATTGATTTAAAACACAAAGACATAACATTATATAGACAACATAAACAGATTAAAATATGCCTGGCTGACACATTGTAAATTGTTCTGACTGAGTTTGATTTACATTTCAGTAGTAACCAATAGTCACCAGCTTCATTTTAACTGATAATTGTTTATGAGTTTTGATACAGCAGGAACGTTGTGTGTTGGTTTAGTTTCCGGGGACAGTAATACGGGACGGACTGACCTGTGCGTGGATTCATTCAGCGAATATTCTCATATTTACGTTAAATACACGTTAATATTTCAGCACGTTGTGTAAAAAGACATAAAGAAAATACTAGTATTTACAACCAGGGAGTGTAGACTGAATATTAAGGTGACGAGTTTATATTTGCTCCAACATGGCGGCTGCTCTCTCCTCTTCAAACTGACTGTTTTGGGCAAGAAGCTGGTAAATATCACATTATCTGTAACTAGTGAAGGAGGCAATATTTATAGCCTACTCTTAAAATGTTTTATTGTGGTTAATCAGCATGACCATAAATGTAAAAGGAAATAAGTATTTGCTTATGTTGTTTACATGGCACTTTTGGTTTCATTTTCAAAACTTAAAGCTGCAACCGTGAGCTAATGCTTCATTTAATCAGCTAAGGCAAATTTACTCACTCGTTTTATTGAGAAACTATGATTTCTGTGGTTTCTGCAGAAGATGTTACTCACAGCTCGCCGCCTGTCCAAAGTGCTGCAGCTCACCCTGGCGGTCATCAAACCAGATGCTGTGGCTCACCCTGTGATGCTGGAGGTGAGAGTCTGTTAGTGAGGTTTTAACTTTACAAGTTGTTCATGTAGACCCCTACTTAAGCTGTTTTATTCCTACCTTTACGGTTGCTGTCACGTTAGTCTTCCAGAGTGAGCAGAGATATCATATAAACATTAATGCATATTATTATAGCTCCCTCCTCAAAATAAATAGCAATGCCAAAACTATCTAACAAATGTTCTTTCCTACAACATAATCAAAACGTACATATAGCCAATTGAGTGTCCACAAAATGAAAAAAAGTGTAAATAAATAATACTGTGAGGTTATTTTATGTGTCTTATTTCGTTTTTCCACAAGATTTAGACATTGGAAGAAGCTCCATTTGCTTTCTTGGTATACGGTCACAAGCCCTGAGGCCTCACAGCAATGAAAGCAGAGTAAATGATTAAAACCTCTGTCAATGGAAGTTCCCAATAAATTAGACCACTGTCATCCTAATTATTAGGAAAAGGACCTTTTTTATCAGAATATTTTGGTATATTTTAAGTATCACCCCCCTGCCAGCTTCAATTCCTGCAGATAATATAAAATATAAAAAGTCCTTCTCCAAGTCCAACAAATCGGCACACAGTATATACAGTTTTGATCTAGACATATTTAGATTTAGGATTTTGTTATCATCAGCTACAATATGGTACAACAAGATATAAACAACATTTTATCTTTCAGGCTCTTCATCAGAGGATCCTGGACAACAACTTTGTCATTGTTAAATGCAAAGACCTCGTGTGGAGGAGACAGGACTCTGAGAGGTTTTACGCTGAACATTCAGGTGTGCACACGACTCATGTGTTCAAATATATTTAAATGAGCAAAATGCTGCGGTTGTGATTCCATCTGACCACACAATTTAGCCAGCAGTCTGTTTTGTCATACCTATTATCTAAACACCTTTTAAATCACAATTACGATATATTCTTATAGGTTATAATATATAAAGCAATTATAATTAGCTGTACCTGCACATATTAATGCATCTCTAATAAGAAGCTGGTAATATTAAAAAAGTACTTTTCCCAGCAGTGTATCTAGGTCAAAACAAGTGACTCATTGTATACTGTTTCGCTGTAGCGCCCACACACTGAGAAGTAAAAACAGAAACAACCTCTTCTCTAGAACAGGGGGTTGCGAGATGATTACAAATAAATAAATATTTGTATTATTATTAATAATAACGTGGGGGTCGCCAGTCTCTGGCACTGTTATTTTGGGGGTCGCGGGCTGTAAAGGTTGGGAACCCCTGCTCTAGAGGATGTTACCTGTACAATATCTTTCATTAAAGTCAGACAGTGAAGAACAGTTTCACACTGTTAAAGAGTTTGAAAATGGATTATGCTCTGTTTTACTTCATAGGGCGATTCTTCTTCCAAAGATTAGTTGAATTCATGTCAAGGTAAGCCATCATATGTGTACTTCTAAACCATGACAGCGTAGAATGATTTACTTTGTTAAAAACGTGTCTGTTGCAGTTGAAATGTAATGATAGAGGCTTGTAAGTCCCATACCAAATAACCCACAGGGCTGACTCAGAAACAGCACACGTCAATATATGATGCTCTAATTTTATGCTCAGCAAGTCACCAATGAATCATTTTCTGGAACTTCACAACAGGAGTTTGAATTATCAGCGGACAACAGCCCTGGAGCAATATTCATGAAAGTCCCCATGTAGCCCGCGGACAAAAGCTCCACGTGAGCTCCTCTGGATTGCAAAAAGGTTCTCGTAAACACAGTGTCATTATTGTGCCCTCGCAGCAGTCAATCGGTAGTTGCCACAGCAACCTTTCTCTGGATGCCTTCAGCGTTATTGAAGACATTAGAAAACATCCTGTGCCCGGTTCCAGTCGGCATTGTTTCGAGATCAAATTGATAGACCAATATGAATTCCTGGACACGATCTTCCCAGGAGGTTTTGGAGTGGATAGATTGGATTCAAGTCCATTTTGGCCTCTCTGTTGAAGCATAGAAAGCATCCAATGTTTAAATTGAACGTCGGAAAAACACAGAGCAGAGTGTGGTTTTGCTATCGGCTTACATGGCGTGATAATTGGCTGTGATTCATGACTTCTCAAACTTGATGTTGTGTTTCCTCTCAGTGGTCCGATGCGAGCGTACCTTTTAGCCAGAGAGGATGCCATACGTCACTGGAGAGAACTGATGGGGCCAACTAAAGTTTTCAGAGCCAGATACACAGCGCCCGAGTCTATCAGGGGCCAATTTGGACTCTCAGACACACGAAACACCACTCATGGCTCAGGTAGGAGGAATGCATTAACATACAGTATGTACAAAAACACATTGCTCTTGTATTATCACGAGCTTTCAAATTACATACTGATTACGGAGTTTTTTTTTATCTCATTCCTCTTCAGATTCCATTGAGTCGGCACGGAGAGAAATCGATTTCTTCTTCCCAGACTTCTGTATGGAGGAGTGGATGGACAAAGAGGAACCATTGTTCAGATCTGGACAAATACATTATGACGATCAAAAACAGATACACACTCTTTCAACCCAAAGCTGACCTCAGAACTGCTCAGAATCCCTCAAGACTACGTAGAAAGTCTGCAATTGTTTGTCGATTTGCTCACACAAATGCCATCTGCCAGTAAAGACGCTTCAATCCTACATGCTCTATATAAAATGTATGTGTGACCATCCCTAAACGTGCATGTGTCAAGTGCCAATATGCTTATCCCTACTCTTTGTACTTTCCTTGACTATAGAAAGCTTATAAGTCGTATAAATGAAGGACCATAAATGTTTTTGTTTAATTTATTAAACCAGAAATTACTATATAAGAAAATGCAACACCTTTCTGTAGAAAACGACACAACGTAGAGGACAATGTTCCACGCCGTCGGCACTAACTCCCGTCCAAGCTTCACTGTAAATAGTGCAATCATCACAATCATTTTCCTGAGCCCTACAGATCGTAGCACAGCAGCAACTACATGTTGTGTATTCATATATGTTGGGATAAACGATCAAAAATGACATTTGATTCAACGCATCTATCCTCAAAGCATCCTAACATGTGGATGAGAACACGTTTTAGATTGTAGTTCATTTAAGAAATTCAACATTTGCCCAAAAACTATTTCCTGTCCTCATGTATGTTTTTCAGGTTTGATACTGTATGTACTGTCATGTTTTGTATTTTCTATGACTAATCTACAGTTTATCATGTCAACGTAGTAACAGGCACCATAGCATTATACAGTGTATACTTTTAAAGAAGAAAATCCGCCATGTTGTCAGGACTAGCTATACTGTACAGCTCAGAGTCTCATCCCTCCTGTGCTTCCATCAGCCGTCAGATTTCTCTTTTAGTTCAGCTTCTTCCAGTGTCCCCTGCTCTCAGGTGTTTTCTGTGTTCACCTGTTTGAGGTTTTCCGAGGGTTTCATAACCTCGTAGGTGGTGAGGGACTTCTTCACCTTCCCGTTCTTGTCCACCTGATGGATGCTCTGCGTCACTGTGATGGTCACCTGCTTCGTCGACATCCGATTGTCCTGCCATTTAGTCTGATGATGATGATGATGAAGGAAGGAGGAACATGGGATATTAAAAATATATACCAACTTTGTTGTAAAGATTGTGCATTTGTTTGGATTGCAGATGGTGGCATGAGAGCTACACATCTTTTTGTTTATATATACATTTAATTAATTTGATTAACTGATCATTTATGGACTATTTAGCACAGACAGGTGCCAACATTCTGACAATGTTACTAAGCTACTGTTAAGTTAACTTGTGTAAAATATGTATCAATGAATCTGGCTTGATCAAGAGAAGCATCAAAATGTCCATATTTGAGAAGCTGGAACCAGGAAATGTTTCCTTTAAAATATACTAGATCAGTGGTTCTCAACCTTTTTACACCAAGTACCACCTGAGAAAATAGTTGGCTCTCCAAGTACCACCATATGACCAATGTTAAAATACAGTCCATGCAGGACTCGGAGGCAAATGTATTTTTTTTTTCTCTCTCTCTCTCTCTCACTCTCTCTCACACTCACCACAAGTGAGAATATAAAGAACTAAATAATAACTTATTCTCACACAACAAATGTCAACTGTACACACATGTCATTTCCTGGACCTATACTAAAGTGTGAATGTAGGCCTCCTGCAACAACCTACATCGTAACAGAAAATGTCCTATTGGGAATTCAGTTCCACAATAATAATGAAAGCCTCCAGGAGCAGATGAGCCTAAGGGCTAATAGCTCATCTTCAGTCTGCTGATGTTTGCTATTGCGATTTCTGTGGTGGCAAAGTAAAAAAGAAAAGAGATAAGAAAAAAGACAACAATTAAGGACAAGTGTGTGCTTTTTCAGCGTTTGACCTCGGTCACAGCCTTCTCTCCATTATTTGAGCAAATGCCTTCTTCCTGAGTCACTTCTGTCCTCCATCACAGCGGCTGTGCATATCACTTTTGCGTTGCTTGCGGAGCCTGCGCTTGTGCTCGGTTGATGACTGTCCTCCTCCTCATTCACTTGTTCACTTTCGCTGGTAATATTCTCCTCTGTACCTCTCTTCCGAATACCTCCCGTTTTGAGCCACGTTTTTAACATCATTCAGCTTTCTTCTTTCTTTAGCTTGCTTGCAACGTTAGCGGGTAGTAAGGTTGTAATTAGCAACGCCAGAAACAAAATTAAAAAAATGTTTTCGTTTCTAAATCTAAAAACAGCAATAGCCTATTAGAACTAATTTAAACCACAGTTTCAATTATCTCAAGCTTATTTTCATTCGTTGTAGTATTTTGATAGTATGATTTATTTTGTAATTAATGTTATTCAATCAAGCCTCAAACTGATTGTCCCTATAGCCTGTTTTAAATTGAAGTTGTCTGAGGTCCTTACCATCAGCTGCTCTTGCAGTAATAATAGTGTACCTTAATGTCCCAAATGTGCACAATGTAGTGACTGCTTTTCGTCTTTTTGTTTACTTAGTTCTGTTTCCTGTATTTTATATGTCTGTGTTATGTGTAAAGGTTAAAGGTGGGGTAGGTACGTTTGAGAAACCGGCTCGAGATACACTTTTGTTATATTCCATGGAATGCTCTTAACATCCCGATAGCAATGAATATCTGAAGTGCTTTGACAAAAAATCCTTAAAAAAATGTCATCTGTGGAAGGCTCTGTAAGGAAGTGGCATATTTTTTCCGGTTGTGTATTTTCAAATTGTAGCTCACTCCAGCTGGTTTCTCCAAAATTACGTACCCCACCTTTGAATAAAAAAAAAAAAAATTTTTTTTTTTTTTTTTATATGTCAGATTCCTCCACGTACCACTAGCGGGAGCTGGCGTACCACCAGTGGTACGCGTACCACAGGTTGAGAACCACTGNACTAGATGATTGCTGCTTACCTTTCTGACAATCTAGTTATGAATTTGATCACTTATTGTTTCAGCTCCAGCAATGAGCAGGACATACATTGGTAAAAGTGAATGGTTTGATTCACACACCTGGCAAATAATGGTGTTTCCCACAATGCAATACTCATACCAGAGAAATGGATACATAAGAAAAAGTGCTGTGACATATTCTAAATGTGGGGAGAGTCTTACAATCTCCTCAGTGTGTAGCACACTTCTGCGCTGCACTGTGGTTCCAGATGACAGAATCACCGCCTCTTTGGGGGGAGAGCCCATTAGAGCAGGGGGGCTGCCCGGCTTCTCGTCGCTCAGACTGGCTTCAGACACGGCCGAGCAGACCTTCAGGTACGCCTGAGCAGGAAGAGGGAGGCCTTCCTCGAAGAAATCTGGAACTACAAGAAAACAAAACCTAAGCTTGCTTTACAATCCAGGATATGTGGGTTAATCAGTAACCCTCATACTCGGGTTCCTGTTACCTGATGGGATTACAAATGTTTCACAAAAGCACACATGACAAGGTCCTTCATTCATAGGTGTGTGATACTCGGGTAACACAAATATTTTTACTTGAAAACAAACATTTAATAGCATGAATAATACCATAAACAAAATGTATAAAACATGAATTATATTGACTTCTAATAGGTTTTCAAGAAATTATATACAAATTAGGGATGAAAGACTCATAAGGGAATAGCAGAAGGGAGTTTTATTTTCCTATATTATTTAACATGCTAAAATAAGAAGTAATTCAAGAGCTTAAACAGTAGCATGTTTGTACATGAAATACATAATAAAGCTGATAAAGTGTTACTGGATCTCTTAGACAGGGTAATCAGGGGATTCTGCTCCATGATAATTGCTATTTACAAATCTGGAATCCCCTTTCTCAGCTTTTCAGCACATCACAGGTTTTTTCCCATTCAAAATAACCAGCCGTGCCAATATAACTATTATGGTATCCCATTGATTATGATTCCTGTGGTGTAGAAGTGTGTTATTTGTAAATGGCACCGCATTAGTCACAGGTCTGAGCTTTCTGAAGGCTTACAGGTGCATTACTGCCACCTCTGAACTCATCTGACTAAAGTGTGTGAAGTGTCATGAATAATGGAAACACTCGGAATATCATTCTGGAGTGGTATTTGGCGTGCATGTCAAGTGGGAGTTAAATGATCTGGATGACGGTATTTTACGGATGTTCACCTTCCTCAGCAATGTGTGAACATACAGTAAATATTCAGGCTTTTTAGGGACTCACCAAAGACAGAACAAACACTTTTTAGAGATAATGCACGGTTAATGTTAAAGATAACCACTACATACTACAGATGTACATTTATTTTACATTATAGTCTCACAACTGTTTAATACAAGCTTTGTGGATGACAGTTGCTGATTCATTTGGCCGATTGTGGTTTTGTGTTATCTCCTTTGAGTAGACCTTAACTGAATTGCCTTCACAATTACATCAAGGCTCCTCGGCCTTCATTCAACAGCAACTGTATCTGTTGCCATGAGAGCCAAGTCCTGTATCAGCACCGTGGCTTTTGATGTTGCCTATTACGTGCATTTACTGATTAATTTCCTCCCGGCTTCAAAGAAAGCGCACCCGCAATTTAGTGCATAACAAGAAGAAGAACAATGGCAGAATGGTAGTGGGATGCATTTGTTTCTGAGCTGTATATGGTGACTAACTGAACAAATGGTTTGCTGCAGATCCTTGTGCCGTACATAACCCTGAGCTACAGCCCGAGGGGCATTGCAACAAATTTTCAATTTCCTTTTTCAATTTGCTGTGTGCACAATGGCTTGTTGTTTGTAAAAGCCGTGAAAAACCTCTGAAAATGTTTGACGTCAAAAGGAAAACACGCACAGGATTTTCCTTACAGAGAGTGTCACACTTCACTTTGATGTTTAGAGTGTTAGGAAGCCACTTATTCATAATAATGTTACTTACAGCATAAGCATGAGCTCTCCTAGCCTGGTGTAAATAACAAACACAAGCACATTTTCAGCCCAAGTAAATAAAAAACACTGCTTATTTTAACGAACATATTCACAATCAAACAGAAACATAGGATAGGAATTTCACATATACCACACTCTGCAGTCGGAGCCTTACAAAGCACTTATTCATACAACTATAAATGTATTATTCCTTTGTTCAGCAGTTCAATTACTGCCTTTTCCCCGTCTTGAGACCAATTAAGTATTCAGTTATCCAACCACTCAACTCTAATTCCTTCTCCTTACCAGGGGTGATTGTTTTCTCC